TATATCTGTTATGGTGATCTGTGATCAGTGCTCTTTGATGCTACTATTATAATTGTCTTGGGGCCCATATAAGATGGCAAACTTAATCTATAAATGTGTACATTCTGACTGCTCCACTGACTCCAGCAGTTCCTGTCTCCGTCTCTGCCTCCCTCTCAGGCCTCCCTATTTCCTAAGACACAACGATATTAAAATTACGCCAGTTAGTAAACACAATGGCTTCTAAGTGTTCAAGTGAAAGAAAGAGTCTTCCCCTTTAAATCAAAATCTAGAAATGATTAAGCTTAGTGAGGAAAGCTTCTGAAAAACTGAGATGGGCTAAAAAGCTAGGTCTCTGGTGCCAAACAGTTGGCCAAGTTGTGAATGCAAAGGTAAAGTCCTTGAAGGAAATTAAGTACTACTGCAGTGAACACATAGATGATAAGAAAGCAAAACAGCCTTATTGCTGATATGGAGAAAGTTTTAGTAGTTTGGACATAAGATCAGACCAGACACAACATTCTCTTAAGCCAAAGCCCTTCGAGAGCAAGGTCCTCCACCAGCAAAAGATTATTACTTACTGACAGCTTAGATGACTGTTAGCATTTTTTTGTAATAATATACTTTAAAGTTAAGGTTTTTTTTAAAAGACATAATGCTATTGCACACTTAATAGATTATAGCGTAAACATAACTTTTATATGCACAAGGAAACCAAAGCCTTTGTGTCACTCACTTTATTTGGATATTTGCATTATTGTGATGGTCCAGAACCACACCCATGATATCCCTGAGGGATGCCTGTATTTGAGCTTAGATCCCTGGCTTAAAGGGATAAAGGAATGAGTGAGGGAGGAAGGAGCCAGCTTTTGCATGAGGCACCTTCTGATTTATTTATTTATTTATTGAGTCGGGTTCTCTGTTGCCCAGGCTGGAATGCAGGGGCATAATCATGGCTCACTGCAGCCTCGATTTCCTCAGGCTCAGATGATCCCTGCACCTCAGCTTCTTGAGTAGCTGGGACTGCAGGCATGTGCCACCATGCCCAGCTAATTTTTAAAAATTCTTTTTTGTAGAGATAGGGTTTCCCCATATTGCCCAAGCTAGTCTTAAACTCATAGGTTCAAGTGATTCTCCCATTTCAGCCTCTAAGTGCTGGGATTACAGGCATGAGCCCCCACGCCTGCCTGAATGTTGAGTGTTGTCTGAAAGTTTAGCAGTCTTTTATAGCAAGTACATTTGTAAGTTGTTTTTGCTCAACATTCTTTGTCATTCATTCAACAGATCTTTATTGAGAAATTCTTTAAGTGTCAAGCACTGTTTTAGACCTGAGAAAACAGCAGTGACTGGACAAAATAGATGTGAAGAGGCCATGTATGGTAACTCATACCTGTAATCCCAGCACTCTGGGAGGTCAAAGTAGGTGGGTTTCTTGAGCTCAGGAGTTGGAGGTGAGCCTGGATAACATAGTGAAACACCCGTCTCTACAAGATAAATAAATAAATTAGCTGGGCATGGTGGCATGCAGCTGTAGCCCCAGCTACTTGGGAGGCTGAGGTGGGAGGATCACTGGAGCCAAGGAGTTGGAGGCTGAAGTGAGCCGAGATTGTGCCTAGTGCATTCCCGATTGAGTGACAGAGTAATACCCTGTCTTTAAAAAAAATAAGATGTGAAAGATTCCTGTACTTGTGAAACTTATATCCTGAGGAGATACTGTTAGAAGGAGTAGGTAAAAGATATATTATTGCCTTTTGTGGTGATTGAGAACTGTCAAGAAAAATAAGACAGGGAAGGGTGATAGGGAATTGGGAGTGTATGAAATTTAGATAGGGTAATTTGGGGGAATATTACTGAGAAGTTGACTTTTGAGGAAAGATCTCATGGAGGTGAGGAAGTGAGCCCTCTGGATATGGGATGTTGGAGGGAGGTATTTGTAAGCTTGTAGAAAGTTCTAGAGGCAGGTGCATGCCTTGCTTCATTAAGGAACAGCAAGATCAGAATGATTGTTGCAGAGTGAGTAAGGGGCCAGGAGTGTGAGGATAAGTTGGAAGGTAATGGGAGGGCTGCAACTGTAGTCTTACGGGTCATCACTGTAAGGATTTTAGGTTTTATTAAGCACATGGGAATCCCCTGGAGGCTTTTTAGAAGAAAGATGTCTTTTGACTTCCCCTTAAAGGCATTCTTCTGACTTTTGTGTTGAGAATAGATTTTAGGGGGTAAGAGCATAAGCTAGGAGGTCAGATAAGAGATTCTAAGCAATAATGTAGGTGAGATGAGCTGGTGGCTTCTGGGTTCTTGTGGATATGTTGCAGTGATTGGATGCTGGATGTATTTTGAAGGTGGAACTGATAGGATTTGCTAAACATTTACATGCGGGTTTGAAAGAAGTAGATGATTTTTTTTTGCTTTTTAATTTTTAATTCATTTTAATTATTTTTGAGACTGAATCTTACACTGTCACCCAGGGTGGAGTGCAGTGGTCCAGTTACAGATCACTGCAGCCTCTACCTCCTGGGCTCAAGTGATCCTCCCATCTCAGCCTTCCAAGTAGCTGGGACTACAAGTGTGCACCACCCATGCCCAGTTAATTTTTTATTTTTTGTAGACATGGGTTCTCACTATGTTGCCCAAGCTGGTCTGAAACTTTTGGGCTCAAGCAATTCTCCCACCTTGGCCTCCCAAAGTGCTGGGATTACAGGCATGAGCCACTGCACCTAGATGAGATGGTTCTTATCAAAGGGGAATCCAGGATTTTTTCCTGGACAAGTGGAAGGAAGGAGGTGTATTTACTAAGATGGGGAAGACTCTGGGAGCAGCAGGGGAAGAGCAGAATATTGAGAGCTCTGTTGTAGATGAGTTAAGTTTGAGATGCATATGAAACACCAAGGAGATGGTGATGAGGCATTTGGATCTGTAAGTGTAGACTTTGGGAATTGTAGGCTACAGGTGGTGATATAGTCTGAATGTTAATGTCCCTGCCAGATTCATATGTTGGAACCTAACCTCCAAAGTGGTGGTATTAGGAGGTGAGGACTTCATGAGGTGATTTGGCCATGAGGGCTCTGCCTTCTCGAATGGGATTAGTGACCTTATAAAAGAGGCTTGAGGGAGCCACTTTGCTCTTCTGCCATTTGTGGATGCAGCAGCAAGGCACCATCTATGAAGCAGAGAAGAGCCTTCACCAGACACCGAATCTGCCGGCTTCCTGATCTGGGACTTCCCAGGCTCCCAAAGTGTGAGCAATAATTTTTTGTTGTTGTTTATAAATTACTCAGTCTAAGGTATTTTGTGATAACAGCCTGAGTGAACTAAGAAAGGTAAACTCCTGGCCTGGATGAGTACACAAAGGAGTACAGATGGAGAAGAGGTCCAAGGGCTGAGCTGGGGCCACTGCAGCACTTGGAGATTTGGGAACTTGGAGGCTCTGGCGAAAGACTCTTATAGGAGCTGTTGGTAGGAAGCATAGGAGGAAAATCAGGAGGGTGGGGCAACTTGGAGGATGAGCTTGGATTCAAGGACTGGTCGCCTTGGGCAGTGCGAGAGTCACCAGGCAGCTGAGAGTAAGGATGGGTGTGGGGAGTGGGGATCTCAGGAGCCAGAGATGGGATAGGATCACTGTCTAGGAGAGCGAAGAGTGAGAGGACTAGGGGAGAGTTGGATTGCCAGGTGGCAGCATGGGTCCTCTCCCAGTTAGTGGTGCTGAATCAGAATGTGGCCAGCCAAGCTGGATGTGTGTTCTGTTTCATTCTTGTGGAGCTGCTAGGGGACAGGCATGGAGCCCAGTGGAACTGAGAGTAAAGCAGTGTTGGAGTTTTACAGGTAAGTGCCAGATGATAAGGGCAGCCAGAGAAGTCCAAGGGGCATGGAATGAACTGTGAAATGGAAACATTGGCTTTTACTTTTCGATAATCCCATTGTTTCTCTTTTTGACTGTCCCATTTCTTTATACTTTAGAACTATCACAATCATTTTTCACTCAAGACTGTTCAGCCAAGTGCAGTTTATTTAAGAGTACTCCTTCAGTGAGCTTACCTAGATATGTGTTTGTTTGCATCTGTCTCCAGTTAATAGGCTGGGATAAAAGTCCTGCTGAGCCAGTTGGTTCAGTCTTGAACCAGCAGAAGTGGTGGGAGAATGAAGCCAAGTAGCTGTTAGAGCCCACCAGTCCTTCCCTCCCCCTGCTCCCAGCACCTGGTATTTGAGTGATTCAGACTTTAATACTGCCCCTTAACTAATGTTCTTCTCTCCCAGCTTGCCAATAAATTTCCAAGGGCAGTATGTATCTTGTGCTCCCCTGGTGGTTTTCTCTTGTGCATACACTTAAATATTTGGCTCTCAGGCTGTAAGTAATCTGCATTGGTTAACACTCCCCACTGTTGTGAAGGATGGGCTGTTGGAACCCTGACTGTTGGTGGCTATGCTGTTTGTGGTGCTCACGTTGTCTGCTTGGAAACCCAGTATGCAGCTTTCATGCCAGGTTCTGCCCTCCTGTCACAGGATCCGGGACTCCTCTTCCCGTCTTGGGAGGCCTGGCCCGGGGATTTTGTCTGGGAAGCCCTGCCCAGTGTGAGCCTCTAGCTGGCCTGAGCAGGTAATCTTGTGAGTGCTGATATATTTTAACCAGATGTCCCTCCTCCAAAGAGTCCTTTGTCCAGGAGGTTCATGGAAACATGAGCTGCCCATCCGCCTTTGGGCCCAGGCTTCTCAGGTTGCAACAAGATTGTTGAGGACACCAAAGAGATATTTATTTCTATACAGAAAAGATCCACAGACTGGGAGGTAAAAAAGGTGAGTTTTCTTCTGGAAAATGGCTTGTGAAATTTGTACATATGGAAAGCAGAATAATCTAGTACAAGGAAACCCTTGAAGACCTTTCTTCAGGAATATATGAGGGACTGATAGAGTTTGCCCTTGTGTTGTGATAAGGGAGACAAAAAAGTACCATGAAATTCTAGGTAGAAAGCACGTTCTGAGCAGTATATAGTTCAACTCATTTATTTAAATATGGTTAAATATACATATTAAAATTTAAATATGTAAATATTTAACTGCTTAAATATACTTATTTAATGTCTGATATCGTTCATCACCATGTTAGGTCTGCAGGCAGCTAAGATATCAGATCCTGTGTTCCCAGGATCTGACCATGTTTCCCAAAGTGAGCACATGCCCGTAGGCATCAGTAACAAGTGTGGACCGAGCTGACTGCAGCCTAGATGGACAGGGAAGACTTGTCCTCCAGCAGTGTTACAGGCCGAGCACCTGCTGGCACCCTGGTGTTGACGTTAGTGATGTTGAAATTCAGATAAGGGAGAGAGCCCCTGGCAGGATTCCACAGAGAGGCAGGACTTGAAGGATAAGAAGGATTAGATGGTGCCGGGAAGGAGAGGAGCGGGGAAGCCAGGGTCAGATGTGAGGAAAGGGGAAGGTGCCTGAAAGAGGTGTTTGGACTTAATGCTGTAGCCTAGAAATGTGGTCCGTGCCTTGGCTGTTCCACAGGTCCCTTAGATTCTATGGGAGCAAAGGAGAAGCCACTGTGTTTACCCCAGACTTGCTTTCTTCCCACCCTCCCTCCTCATCTTGGTGCACACATCACCATGTGCCCAGTCTGCCAAACTGGAAATGGCATTGTCATCCTCAGGCCCCCTCTTTGTGTCACCTGCTGTGATCCAGTGGTCACTGAGTTGGGAGCCTGCCTCATTTGTTTAATCCTATTCTACTATTAAATTTCCTGCCCCTTGTAATCCCTCCTCTCCTGAGTCTTCATTCCCGTTTCTGCCCAAACTGTTTCCAGATCACAAATAAGATTCTGTGAGTCCTCTGCTCAGAATCTCCTGGTGATTTTACACCACCCACAGGACAAAGTCTAGACTTCCACCCTTCCTAACCTGGCCCCAGCCCATTTTCCTGGCCATCTTCTGGGTCTGAGCCACCATCTAGAAGTGGTTTGAATGGTGAAGTATTTTAATTTCCTGGAGCTATCAGGATAGACTATTTAAAAGCATGTGGGACATATGATCCCAACATATTTTCCTTATTAGCTATTCATGGGTACAGCACAGAAGAAGCATTTATGTTTATAATGATCTCATGTCACCAAGGAAAAGTTAAAATTTGTTTAATAACTCACTTGAAAAGGCAGCAGAAAAGTAGATGTAACCTTTGGGAAGGATTTTCACCAAGAATGACAAAATCTTTTAAAAATCTAATGCTTAAAGAGATAAGCTTCAGTTATCTGGAATGTCTGCTTCTGGCACCCAGTAAATGAAATATCAGGTGGGCAGCAGGACATGTGGAGGTCCTGATAGATCCTATCATGAAGGGAGAGACATAGATAAGTGAGACTTGAAGAATGAGTGGAAAGCAATTGCAGATGCACCTGATGTATTCACATGGACTCCCAGAGAGGCAGCTGCACAGCCCCGTGGTGCTGGCCTCTGTTTGGCAGGGAGGCTGGGGTTGGGACCCAAGGCCTTTAGCATCAAATATGCCTTTCCTTTGATGGAAATGGGTTTGAATGATATTTCCTGGAAATTGAGGCCAGTTCTTTGTTTTTCTTGGCTGAACACTTAGAAGGCAAGAGGCAAACCCAGACACATTTTGGAGGAGTTGGTTGCGCAGCGTGTGCTTTAGAAGTGATAGCAATCCCCATGGAGTGCAGTAAGAAGCAGCAGGATAAAGCAGGCACGAAGGGCCTTCAGTACATGGATCAGCCTTGAGATTGCCTTTCCTCAAAGAGAACAGATCTCTGGGACAGGAGTTCTTGGGGCACGGATGGCAGTGTTAATGGGGAGGAATCATTGTTGTAGGCAACCTATGAGGAGGAGGCAGCCTTCAGTGACCTTGGGCTTGTGTTCAGAATGCCTCCATTGGGTGCATTCCTTAGCGACCCCTGCTGGTACATTCTGCTCTGAAGAATAATGCAGAGAGACAGTGACCATTTTACCAGGGAACTCAGTTCTACACTCACTTGCTGCAGCAGGTATGGCTGGGATTAGTGGCTGTGGTGGAGCTGTTCCAGCCATGGGGGATGAGGTCCCTCCCTCTGGTCTCCCAGTGGTGGGGTGGGGTGGAGGGTGGGAATGGAGGCAGTGCTGCCCGACAGAGCAGGCTGCTGCTGGAATCACCACAGTGTCCTGTGTCTCCTCCTATTAATCCTCATGTGGAACAGCAGGTAGCCTGAGAAGCCTGAATTGTGCCTTAATTCCTGGCCGTGGTGCTGCATATAAAAACAGATGAGCCTTCTTAGCCAATGAGTTTGTGCAGTCAGTTCTTACTGAAGCCAAGCCTTGGTCCAAGGGAAAACAAAGCTACAGGAAACATGGAACTTTCTTATACCTTCTTGAAAATGCAAGTCATGTTGCCTAGGAAATACTTCTCTCACCGAGTATTCTGCACCCCGCCGACACTGGAGCTATATGGAAGAGGCAGCTGAAGCTATTCCAAGAAAATGTGAGCAGTTTGGTAATAAAAGTGGCATATCTCTCTTGTCTCTAGACTGGGTTTCTAGGAGTGCACATGGCCAAAAGGAAACTGTGCTGAAGTCTAGGGGGTGATCACATGCTGGACTCATGGACACATTGGCTGGGTGTCCAGTCTGTGTTGGGGGAGGGTGTGGACGGGCTGAGTGCAAAGATTGACAGTGCTGCACGAAGTGTGATGAGTGAGAGGGTGCCAAGTGCTGGGATGGGTGTAGATAAACAAAAGCAAGTAGGTGCAGTCATGTGCAGCTTGCCCAAGTTCCAAAAGCTTGCTGCTACACCGAAAACTGCCGGTAGCCTCTCCGGGGCTGCGTCAGGAGCAGAAGGGTGTCTTCCACCTGCTAATTAGGAAACTTCTAAAGCATTTCCCTCTGACACAACCAAGTAGTCTGCTGAAGGGGAACTGCGTTAGTGAGGAGGGAAGGTGTGGCCATGGACTCTGCGATGGAGAAAGCCAGGGGTGAGATGCTTCAGAGCCCCGAGCAGTCCTTCCTGGCAACTCTGAGTGACCCACATGTGACCCTGCTGTCTGTCCACAAGCAGTGTTTCTTTAGGAAGAACCCTGGGGTCAGGCACTCAGCCAGGCCAGTGTCTACTGAGGAGGAAGGCACTTCACCATCAGAGGAAGGAGAATTTCCACAGAGTTTTGAATGGAACCCGGGAAGTGAGTTCTAGTCAGGTCAGTACAATTGCAGATGGGCTAAAACGTCAAGAAGGGCTTGCACCATTTAAAGATGGAGATTTCTCTCCGTGTCTCATGTATGAGGTATCGGGGGGAGGTCTGGGGAGGGGAATGAGCATGTGAATGTAGCACCTAGCAGGAGTGAAGGTGATTCATTACACCATGACTTGGAAGTTTGGGTTTTGTTGCTTTTTATTTTCAGGATACTTTGTAAGCCTTTATGAAGCAAAGGTTATCCAGAATGCAAGTCAAACGAAAATGAATCCTTTCTTCTTTTTACTAATATATTTTATAGTGTATGCCTTATTTTGTTAATTTCTACATTTTAACCTTTGGAAAATGCTGCAAAATGAAGTTCTTTTTCTTAAGCAAATGAAAATTGTGTTACTACAAAGGTTAGGTCATGTCCAAAAGTAGGACAGTATAATGTTTTTGTAAAAATGGTGCCTTATAGTAGCATTTCTGAGCGGATGGGTGGTGTGTATAGTGTCTTTTTCATTGACCTACTCAGATGAAAATGAAAAAAGACTTTTGAAGGCATTTACTAGTTTGATACAAAGGAAGGTTTTATAAGTACTTTGCCTCCTCTAAGACTTATTTTTATGCTGTTCATTGGTTTAAAAGTCCCAAAGACTAAAGGAAATTTTGTGAAAAGAATGTTCGAATGTACTTTGCAAGAGAATTTACATATGTTGAAATCACAGGGTACTTGGATATTGAAAACAGAAACTCTTTTTGAGTATTTAAAGATTCTGCATTTTACTGCCAGGTTTTTAACTAAGGATATAACTATGCTCAGATGTATTTATTTTAAAATATTAAAAGTGTTTTTTGGTGTTCTGAATTTGTAGAAAATTCCAGGAGACTCTTTTGAAGTTTCTTTCCAGGTGAATTTAAAAATAGGAAATATAGAATTATTCAAGTGGCCGCCAGTTTGGGTAACTTCTACACAGAGGTTCCAGTGGTTTTTGGGAGGGAAGTGAGGTGATGGATACAATTTTAATTACTTTGTTTTCCAAAGTAGTTTTTAAATTTTCATTTTATATCTCTTTAAATTGTACTAAGCCAGTAGCTAAACTAATGTGTTAAATCATGTAGAATTTAAAGAGTAACAGAGCTTTTAATCTTTTAATCAGGCTTTTCGTATTTTGCCTGTTTGTACAATATATAGTGAGCATTTATGCTTTAAGCCATGTGTTTAAAATAGTGAAATATTAAATATTTTGGGGTGTAAATGCTTAAATGTCCAAGCTATTACTTTATAAATTCCAGCCTATATCTGAAGTTTTGGGATATGACATATGCTAGTGATTTTTAAGGCCAGCACCAATCTGTGACTAGCGGGACAACCTGAAGCTGACTAGGGGAGCCTCCTCAGAAAGGAGGGCTGGGGAAGAGGCCTTGGTGGAGGGATCTGAATGCAGACCCATGCTTTGTCCATCTCAGGTTGTGGGGCCTGGGCAGGTGAGTCTTGGACACTCTCATTCAGACTCTTCATTGCAAAGCAGGTGATAAATCCTGCCTCATCTGATTGTGAAAGCACTTTGTAGATTATCATTCAAATGCAAACTAGTATTACTTACACCAAAATTATACTTTTTCAGTAGAATTTCCAACTCTTAATCTTCCAAATCTTAATTTGTTTGATGTGTCGTCTGGATAGGACTGTGTTAACCCAGTAATCTATCTGAGTACAACTGCAACTCTGTTTTTCCTTTCTTTGTTTTTTTTTTTCCTAAATTTTTTATTTTGGGCATGGTCTCTTGCTGATGCCGAGGCTGAAGCGCAGTGGCATGATCATGGCTCACAGCACCTTAGACCTCCCAGGTTCAAGTGATCTTCCTGCCTCAGCTCCCTGAATAGCTGCCACCACAGGTGCTCGCCACCTTGTCCAGATAAATTTCTCTTTTTATTTGTAGAGATGGGGTCTCCATATGTTGCCCCGACTGGTCTCATACTGCTGGGCTCAAATGATCCCCCTGCCTCCCCCTCCCAAAGTACTGGGATTATAGATGTGAGCCACCATGGCTGGCAGCTCTATTTTTTCTAAAGCTCTGATTATAAAAGTAGCCTACACTCATTATAAAAAACAAATTTATGATGGAATGAGGGGAATACAGAGAAGTATAAAGAAGAAAATCAAAGCAGTCATTCTCCCAACAAATATGAATGTGTATGTGTATATGTATATGTATATGTGAGTATGTTTATGTGTCCATATGTGTATTTTTAAAATAAATATGAGATTAAATTATACATACTATCTTATACTTTGCATTTCTTACTGAATATTTTGTGGACATTTCTATATGTCATATATATACACCTATATTATCTTTTTATTTTTTATTGAGACATGGTCTTCCTCTGTCACATAGGCTAGAGTGCTGTGGCGTTAGCTCACTGCAACCTCCACCTCCTAGTTTCAAGCGATTCTCCTGCCTTAGCCTCATGAATAGCTGGGACTACAGGTACCTGCCACCACGCCTAGCTACTTGTTGTATTTTTAGTAGAGACAAGGTTTTGCCATGTTGCCCAGGCTGGTCTTGAACTCCTGACCTCAAGTGATCTGGCCACCTCAGCCTCCCAAAGTGCTGAAATTACAGGCGTGAGCCACCGTGCCCGGCCTATATCATCATTTTTTATTGTAGTTCCACTTTTAAATTTAGGATTAATTTTTAGAAAGAATTTAATTAATCTCAAATAGAAGGAATTTGTAGTAGCTGGTTTATGATTATAAAAACCAACTCAAAAAATTACAATCGAGTATTCATTCATTGTTAACAATGTTCTGATTCAAAATCTGTTATACATCAGATTTGCACCTTGAGAACTAACATTTAGCACTTGGTATATGGTAGGTACCTTGCTCTTGTCACTTAATCATTTTAACAACTTTAGTAAGTATCATCGGTCCACCCTTAACAGATGAGAAAGCTGACTGAGAGCTTATGTCGCCTGAAAGATTTAATCCCAGGTTTATCTGAAGACAAGTCCTTGCTTTTCCATTGAAACACTGAAGTATTATTTAATACACTGAACAAGACAGAGTTTGAAATATTGGAAAGCTGCTAATTCATAGTGAAGGGAAAATTAGCTTTCAGGTGGCACATTGTTCAGAAAGGACACAGGTGGTAGCTGCTATGAATAAAACATTTAAAAATTGCTGTTTATGTCTAGTGGATTTGTTTGCTTGTGTTTTACATTCCTTATGCAATGCAGAGTACATTCTGTACAATTTAGAGTCAAAACCTGTTTCTTTGATTCTTCTATTTTTCAGACAGGCAGAGGGGGGGAAAAGATTTTTTTTAAAAGGCATAACTGGTAAAAACTCAAAGTCTGAAGGGCACATTGCCCCCTACTCCCCTCCCACATTAGAAAGTTTCTCTTTGCTGATATGAGCATGGCTGAGCCTGGTGAGGTTCTCAGGAATTAATTATGAAAAGGGGGAAATAGGTAGGAGGGACTTCTCCACAAATCCCCTCCAGGAGAGCACGCTAACCACAGTAGAAAGCAGTGGCTGGGTGTTCCTATCAAAGCTTACACAGACAACCTTTCAGGCCCAGGGTGGTGGGCTGGAGAAGAACGGGTGCCTGCCTCTGATACTCTCCCTTCTCTGTTCCTTCCTTACCTCTCTCCTCTACCTGTCTTGGCAGGTGGGAAATGGTTGGAGGTTACCAGGAACTTGTTTCCAGAATTCCCCTTTGTTTCCAAAAGCGACTGCTTAAGCCTCCTTACTCACAACCCTGTTGACTTATTTGACCAAGCTTGGCTGCTGAGTTACTTGTTTTTTTCAGACAGGATCTCACCATGTCACCCAGGTTGGAGTGCAGTTGCGCAGATCTTGGCTTACTGCAACCTCCACCTCCTGGGCTCAACAATCCTTTCATCAGCAATCCCTCCACTTTAGCCTCCGAGTAACTGGGACTACAGGTGCACATTGGCTGCTGTTTTAGTTTGTCATTGTATCCTGTATCTGACAGAGCTCAGTCCATGGTATCAAGCTGTTGACTGAGTGAACAAATGAATGAACTAGAAGTAGATGTATACCGTAGCAGGGGGGTTGATGTTAGACATATTGAACTGATGGTGACTATAAGGTTGTTAGGTGGTGGACTTACCATTTTAGAGACCAGAATATAGAATTTTGCCTTAAGTGAGTGGTGTTTAGGTTTGGTTTTATTTTTGCCTAGTTGAAATCAAAATGACCTGGCTGGCACAGGTATATCCCTTCTAAAATAAAGGAAAAACAATAAATGAAGTGGTGTGATCTAGTCATTTAAAGAAGT